TAATCAAATTAGATTTTTATTCACTTTAATTTTTTTATATAATGATTTTTTTAAAATCAAATTCAGATGCAAAAGTAAAAAGTTAAGTAGCGCCGAAAATAATGTCTAACAAACTTTGAAAGTTGTCTAACAATCTCTAACAACTCACTAACAAATTTGTTAGACCATTTTAAAAGCTGTCTGTTATCATTGCACTGCTAAGTTCACAAGGGTCGATTGCGCCCAGCAAATTATCACGATTGCGCCCGTTTCACCTTTTTACCTACAAAAATCGCAACACGATTGCGTTCCGTGAAATATATGTCTCGCCCTTAATAAATATTGGTCTTTGCTCAATACAATTTTTAAAAATACAGTAGAAGTAGTAAACTCAAAGTTGAAGATAAAAGTTCGAGTTAACCAAGTTCGATTGTATTAATACATGACATTATAAACATTTTTATAATTTTATGACATTATTTTTTTTCCATAAACGTATTTTCCCATTGTCTATGCAAGTATAGAACTAATACACAGGAAAATTTAGCTACATATAATATTTGAAAGCAATGGGAGACCACAATTTTGTGCCATAAAATGTAATTTGTAATTCTATTGGGTTTTTTTTATACATATTTGGGCATATTATAATTTAAAAAATATATATATTATTAGTGTATACTAATGTGGACACATAATATCAATATATGATATTATATGATATAATATTATAACTTATTAAAAGAAAAAAAAATGTAATTGTATTGAGTTATTTTAGACATATTTTAAAATAAGAAACAATATTTTAACCAAACCAACAATTTAATTTTGTTGTCAGTCCTAACTCCTTGCCTATAAAATTAATAAGTAAAATTGTTAAACTTGCCGAACTTGGATAACTCGAACTTTGAGTTACTACTTCGACTGTATTTTTAAAAAGTGTATTGGGTAAAGACTGATATTTATAAAGGCAAGATATATATTGCACGGAGCGCAATCATGTAGCGTTTTTTGTAGGTAAAAAGGTAAAACGGACATAATCATGCTAATTTGCTGGGCGCAATCGTGTTACGTTTTTTGAATGTAAAAAGGTAAGACGGGCACAATCGTGTTGCAGCCAATATAACCTGCCTAACGTTATTGAAAATATTTTTTTACATGATTTAAGTCAATAAAAAACAACATTTTTGAGTTTTTTTTATCTTTTAGAATGACATATCATATATTTTAAATTTTATATTCTAAAGCAGTATATTAAACAAAATATTTCATCAATAAAAATCAAATTTTGAACAAGTATCTTATTTATTAGTTATAGGCATTAAAGCACTTGTACCGAATTGGTTCCCATTAAATTATGTAAATATTCCTTCTCAGTTTAAAAATTTGCATTAGTGTCTTAGTGATCGTTGAAGTTAAATAAATAATTATATTATAAAATGTATTTATATTTTATGTTATAAAATAAATTTATGTATGAGTATCAACGAGTGAGTTATGATTTTTTTTTTACAGATATTTGAAGTACAAATTTAGAGAAAATTAGTTATTTAAACAACAATATCACAAGTTACAAGTAGCCAATTTTAGACATAATCTATTTAATATTTTTGATGTTATTTATAAGCTAGTAACTCTAGATACTTTAAATGTTCACAAAATGTCAATAAGACTATTACATGATAACATTTTAAAATATTTTAGCCTTTATTTGAAATAATTAAACCCATAAGAATTTTTTCATTATTATTAAATTTGCTCATTTATTTAAAAATATTAGGCTGACAAACAGTCTTAGCTGAGAATTTTTTTTTGTGCATAATCATAAAATATCATCAAGTTCTAGATAACTAATGTACAGCAGAGTGACTTCTTCTGATCCACATGTTCACCTTTTATTCTTTATTTTATATTTCATTACTTGTTAGTTATTTTAAAATATATCTAATGATGGTCATGATTTGAAACTAGAATAGTTACAGTTTATATTTTTATATTATAATACTTGAAGGTATAACAATTACTAACTTAGTCTTATTAGTAAAACTGAAGTTCACTGACCTGTACTCATTAATAATTTTACAATTGTTTGTTTAATTACGTGTACTAGGTAATTTTAACTATTTTTTTCATATAGTATGTCAATGTCATCTACTAATATTTTCTTTTTTGCTCTCGGCATAGCAGATTTTTTTACTGTAAATCGATAAATTATTGGTTGTAGTGAATTATTAAATTTCTGTACTTTTAATCCATATTTTGTAAATTTCGAGTTTATGCCATATAAGATAAAATTAAATAAATAAACTCTAAACATCTCAGCTTCCAATAACTGAGCTAAAAATATATCAAACATTTTCTAATAAAAATATTCTATTTGCTATTTGGTACTCTTGATTGAAATTTACCTAATATATATTTCTAGCTGTGACTAACATGGCATTAAATAATGACAAATTAAATAATGCTAGAGGATTTACTCAGTCTTTTCAAAATTCATTAATGTAAATTTAAAATTACATATATTTTTAACATGTTTGTTTGAATAGTGTTAACCAAAAATAAAATACAGTTCTAAAATTATAATAACTAGGTATTTTATTTTGTTTAACCAGTGGAAACATTATACAAACACAAAAATATTTAATTTTGGTGAGTACCACATTAAATTCAAAAATTATTAAAATGTATAATAACTATATAACTTTTCATTTATTGTTGATTTTAAAATGTAAAATCTTTCTGTATTCATTGAACATGAATCTTATGTATTTAGTCTTGTACAAAGATAYAAAACACTTAAGTTAAATTAATATTAGGATCTAAAATCAAATGATTTTTTACTAGGACATTTTGCTGCATATTATAAAAAAAAACTTCAAGGTTTAAAGATACAATATTTGTGAGCAATATGTATTATTGTGGAGACTTTTCTTCTGGCATACTGAGCTCCATTTCAATTTCCCTTAATGACATTTGTAGACTATTGCTTAAATTACCAACACTATCTTCACGAGGTAGCCGTTTACCAAAATGTCTTTCAATCCACTTCAACATTGTTAACACAGAATCTGTACTTGGCAAACGACGTTCAGCAGAAGTTTTAACTATTTTAGACTGGGCTACTCTAAAAGTTGCTGCCATACCTTTTAATGCCTTTTTAATAATATAAATGAAATTAGGTGGATATTATTTTAATTTTAATATGAATAGAAACTACCTGCATTGCATCTTCATCAGTTACATCATCTCCTGCATAAATAATGCGYGTGCGTTCACTCCAATTCAAACCAAAAGCTGTYCGTAAAATGTACAAAGATGCGCGTCCCTTATTCCAYTGTACTGGAGGTTTGGCTTCTATGGCACAATGAGCCTGGCCTGCTTTAAAGCCAGCTTCTTCAATAAGACGCTGTGCTGTGGATACAAGCTCTGGTCGATTATTAGACGGTACATCACGGTAATGAAATGTCAATAAAGTACCCTTATCTTCTACCCATGCACCATCTTTACAAACCTAAAAATAAACACAAACAAGTCAATAACTCATTGATAATCACTTTATATTTACTTGTTTTTGAAGCACTTCCAACAGATCACCAACTTTTTCTACATATTGTTTAGGCATTGGATGCACAAACCTACTTCCATCTGGGTGAAGAATTTCCAGTCCATGATTACCAGCATAAGTCAAACCCTCAATACCAACCTTATGTCAATTAAAATAATTCCAACCATTAATTTWGCTGTACATATTATGATAGTTTAACATTAAATAACAAACCATGTCTTTAACATTGTGAACATTTCTRCCAGAAATAATAGCTATGTATACATCAGACATATTGGCCAATCTTTCTAATACACCTTTAGTTTCTAAAGGTAATATAGCGAGGTCTGGGTGAGGAGCTAATGGAGCTAATGTACCATCATAATCTAATAGTAATGCAAGTTTGTTTGAGTTACCAATATATCTAGAATAAAAATTATTAAATAAAATATATTTGTAAATAATATGACATAAATTGTTAAACAAATATTTACTTAGACAAATAATCATCAAAGTCCTGCAAAGTGACTGGTTGCATGGTAGTTGGCAAAACATCATCTCCGTCTTCAAGTATTAGAGTTCCCATTGCTTTGAGAAAAGATCGCATCCAAAAATCAACATCATGTTCTTTTTCTCTACGTCTCAAACACCTCATTCTTAAAATTTTTTCATCTTCGGGCATAGTCAATGCTCTGTGCATAATATCCGCTGCTTCAACTAATTCGTATGGATTACAAATTAAAGCTTCATTCATCATCTCGCCAGAACCAGCAAATGGTGATACAATAAGAACACCAGGAGATTCTTTAATTTGACAAGCAACATACTCTTTRGCTACTAAATTCATGCCATCACGAAGCGGTGTAACCATCGCTACAGCTGAGTCACGATAGAATGCTGCTAAATCATTTTGACTAACATAACCATAAATATATTTGATTGGTGACCAATTAGGAGTTGAGAAACGACCATTTATTCGTCCAACAAGTTGGTCCATTTCCTCTTTGAGGTCCTGGTATTCYTTAACATCTGTACGTGATGGAACAGCAATTTGCATAAGTGCTACTTTACCCTTATGTTGTGGATATCGTTCCAATAGAATTTCAAAAGCTTTTAGTCTATGTACTAATCCCTTAGTGTAATCCAATCGATCAACACCAAGTACTAAGTGTAACGATGTACTTATTACTGCAGGTGCTTGCTTTGCCATTTCCACAAATCGATCAAATGGTATACCAATTGGCAATGGACGAATACGTACTGTGCGACCACCATGTTCAACAAGTAAATTTTTCCGATCTACTCGACAACCTAATCTTCGCTGACAGCAATCCACAAAATTTAAACAATAGTCTTCAATATGAAAACCAACCATATCACAACCTTGAAAATAAAGTTAATAATATGAGTATGTTAGTACAATYATTACTACTATGAGGTACATACCTAACATTCCTTGAAGAATTTCATCAGCCCAAGGAAATAACCTAAAAATATCCCATGAAGGAAATGGTATATGAAGGAAAAATCCTAATTTAAATTTCAAATTTTTCTCATCTGCCACCTAAAATAATAATTTTATATAATATACAATATGCTTAAAAATWTTTTACGCCAAATGTATTGTCAAGAATGGTCATTAACTTTTTGAAAAAAAAAAAGTTGTATTTATGAACAGTAAATAATTTGTTCTATCTCAATCTCATCAATTTATTTATACACTTATATTTCTTAAACTTTCCGTCATGAAAATAAAATTTTATAATTTGAAATAATTTCTATATTTTACCTTATGAAATAAGTTAAAAATATATGTAATAATGATATTCATAGGTACATTATTTTATATTCAGATAAATTATTGTATGTAATACAGAAATAACAAGTGAAAATTAATTTGTTTGTACCGAGACAATAATATAAATTTWACATAATCTTGAACTAATATGATTTATTTATTTATATATATTTAATCTTACATTTCGAATATTGTTTGCTGCTAACATAAGATGATAATCGTGCAACCAAACTAGAGGTGTTCCAGAATCTGTTTCTACTCTTGATAAATTTTCCAAAGCACCTATTGTTTTTGATGCAAATTCTTTATTGACTGCACAATATGACTTAGAAATCCAATAAAAAACRATTTTAATTAGTTTCATTAAAGTATTTTTTTTCAACTATTATTACTTTCCAAGAATCACCAGAAAATTGTGCTCTGTCAGGCATTGAATGAAATAAAGGCCAAAATGTTCCATTACAGCAACCATTATAGTAACTATCAAATGTTTGAGGATCAAAATCAACATGTATAACCTTAAATAAATTAAAAGTTGAAATATTAAGTGTTTCAAATAAATTATGTTATAGTTTAATTCTTYAAATTAAATAACTAACTTTATCRGAACGCAATCCAGCAGTAGGTGTTGTATCATTGGGATCTGATTCTGGTATTTTTTCACCTTCTTCTAAGTGAATACCAGCCCATCCAATCCATAGTCCATTTCCTTGAACTACAACAGGTGCCACAGCAGTGACTAATCCACCAGCACTAAAATGTAAATATATTCAAATGTWAGRTRATAATTCTCAATATTTTTTAATATTTTAAAATTGAAAATATAAAAAAAAAATTCAAAATACAAATTATAGCATGCATCAGTATAACAAAATAATTATGTATACTAAAAAATACAGTTTAGTTGATAGATTATAAAGAGTACATATATTTCATATTATTATGTTTAATGGCATATGGTCATAGGCACAAATGGTGTTTTAGATTTGGGGGAGGTTGAAACTTATATCATATTGAAGAAGCTTAAACAAATTTAAGAATTTATTAATTTTTTTTTTTTTTCAGAGGGGAATAGGGTCCATGAACATGGTGCTATTTTATAAGTAGATTCATAGACAAACATTATAAATAATAATAATATATTTATTTCATATCATTAAACTAAAATTAATAATAATTAAAATAATTAAATACTATTTTAACATAAATAGTATAATTTGAAATAATAAATGTTGTTTCAGTAATAAAGATTAATTTCGAATACAGTATCAATTGTTATTATTTTTATTATGATATATTAAAATTTTTTAAGAACCATTTATTTTATTRAGTACAAAATGATATGACTGATACTAGATCCAAATAAAATCAATTGAAACAAAATTTATTTATGCGTATATAATATTCAGTATATCCAGTAGTYATTAGGCATTTTTATACTTTGTTGTTAAGCTAATTTTATATTTAATCTATATTATTCTTCCTGATGCCCAGTATCTATTATCAGATTGATGACGACTAAAAATAGTAAAAATAATTGTATATATGTCGGCACTAGTCACAACCACAATATTAAACAATATTTGTCAGAAAATGATTGAATTAGATATCTTTTAATTATATTATTATTTTAATATCCGACTAAATGATGCTACTAACACGGAACCAAAATAAAAAATACATATCTTTATGCAAAARTAAAAAGTTAGTTGGTAGTTAAAAAATAAACTTTTACAAGATTTATAGATAGGTTTCAGATAAAAATTATATATATATATACATATATAATGGATRCACCAATGGAAAGTTTAATCTAGTWAACAAAATATAAATGGAGGAATATTCCAAATTAGAAAATAGTGTCTATTAAAAGACAGGGTAAAACACATTTTTTTCTTTATATGACAGAAAATGTTTAATACAGACACCTAGTCAATAAGCTAAAATAGATGGTTTAGAATGATTAAAATCATTTATTTTTAAATTATCATGAAGGCTATAAAAACCGATTATTTTTTTGATAATTATGGATGGAAATTGATACATAGCATTAGAAAACCAGGAAAAACTTAATCTAATTATAAAAACTGTAGGTTTATGYTGGCGTCAAAATWTATCTTTAAAATCAAAATTACAGATAGATTATGGTTAATCTCATTGACTCAGTGTTATTTTCTATGTAATTGAAAATTTCTTAAGCACCACACCACCAAAAAAAAAAAAATCATGGGTCCTTTGGAATTTTCATATTTTACTTAATAATTACGACTCTACTAACAACTATGAAGTACTTAATTGAAAATATTTTCGTATGAACAAAAGACCTAGACAAATTTAGGTATAATTAACATACAACAAATTTGTTTCTTTCTCTGGCCTCAATATATGCGGTATCGATCAAGATCCGTGCTATTTTAAAGTTAAAATCATTCAGATAACAAATACTTAAAAAAAAAAAATACGCCATGGGTGTGTGGTTACAAATTTACGATCACGGTTGTAAATACATTCGATTTACAACCATGGTTCAAATTGTCAGTCATCGTCGCGAAACGGAGCACAACGCCATCTCTGAAACGTTGTTTAATATTATGTTTCACTTATTGCGTCATTTTAAACGTCGTCAATTAATTTGGAACAAAAAAAAACCTATCACAGTATTTTGTCTTAAAAACAATCGGTGGATAACGAAATGATAAATATTGTTACCTAACGTCTACAAACCGGTAACACAATCAYAGACATCCATATCTGAGTGTCTAGCTAATCAAATTAATAATTACTGTATGCCGTACGAACACACACAAGGAATGTGTGGTAAAATGTTTGTTGTTGACTAATTGATCAACAAGTGTGATAAACAACAAACAAGATAAACACGCGGTGACATTCGTACCTGTTATATTATTTATTATATTATTAGGTATTAAAAACCAATTTGYAATCATACCTGGCTTTTCTTTCCAATTTTAGCGTCTGTTCGTTTTTTTTGAGAATGAATGGAAGCCTGTTGGACACAACGATGAGCTTTCCGGACGCGTGTGCAGGCATGGCGGTGGATGCAGAAACAGAATAAAAAATGGACAATTCAAAAAACGACGATTCTCGCAGCCGTGTTGCAAATACACATCACTTGGAGACCGTCTGAGTGGTCCGCTGTTGTTGTTATTGTTATTGCCGTTGTTTGAGTTTTGACTGTAGGTATTTGGATGATCGGATGATCGCTGACCGCCGTTATTCCCACTACTTYCCCACACACTTGGAAAACAACAGTCATCGTCGTTCGGCCGTCGTCAGAGACCTCTAGTGGCGCGTTTTATGATAAAGAAATATCGGTTTAATCGGTTTGTGCATATCGACAATATTTACATTTCGATGAATCAGTATACAATAATTTAATGGCATCCAATAAGATCGACTGGATGAACGAATACATGATATAGGCATAATAGAGAACTACAGAGGACAAGGTGATGCCACTTACAATATAATAGGTATATTTCAGACATTTTTGTAGTTCAACGATTTCTTGCTAGGTGACGCCAACATTCGGTTAAAACTCGGTATTTACTATTTACGCTCACCAGTGGTGTGGCATTTATATATTATATAGGCATGTAAATGGTTTTGCGTGGGATAAATTTTACGAAGGCTGTATTCATGGWAACCTAACCAATTTTTTCTAYATAGGTACAGAAACGTATATAAGTCTAAGCTTAATATTTTTTTGATAATCTAATATATTTTTTTATTACAAATATTGAATACTGATATCAAAAAAATAAAAACGCTAAACTATACAAAAAATTCTCTTCCATGTAGCATGAATTTTCAACATTTACTGAAAATAATGTACTCGTAAGATTATCAGCATGAAATCGTTCTGCAATATGTATAATCGAATTATTACGCAATAACTATAGTTGGTACTCCTGATCACATCAAACCACTTTTAAAATTCTTTAAATTAATGACTGTATATTTATTATTAACCATAATTTAATTCTACTCAAAATATCATTAAAATTGCCTGTATTAAACCCATTTAATATTAGGGAGATGGCGTATTTTTAATTTTATAAAAAACTGCTTATTTCAWTTACATACATTCAATTCTGATAATTTTAATTTAAGTTTATTAAATAATTATAATAATTTATGCATTGTAAGAAGATATAATACAATATTTATGAACTATTTAATAAATTAAGTTAATATCAAGACAATTAAGTCTATCTGTATTAACCATACTGAAAACTGATAATTTTTTTAACACCAAGGGTTATTGAAAATTATGTTGTACAGAATTTACTGCAATAGCACTTAGAATTTTAAATTATAATTAAATTTAAAACATTTGAATGCTCACAATTATAGTTAAATAATAATTAGCTTGATAGTATACTATACATTAGTTGGTCATAATTTTTGAAATAATTGTCTGTGATGAATCTTGATTTTTCTAAAAAAAAAAACTATCTTTATGGGAWTTTTTTTAATTTTTAGTTATTAACATTGAGATGATAAAATATTTTATTTAAAAAATTTTTAATAATGTATCAGAAAATGTATATTTCATAAATACCTTGTATCTCATAATAATAATAATWATWATTATAATATGAATTATAAGATCATAATTTCATTATAATTATATTTAATTAATAAAATATTCTGTTAAAATAATCAGTTTGGGAATAAATCAGTTGTTTGTCTCTTCTGAACAACTACAAAAATCAAAAAACATGGTAATACTGTTTCATAACTACTTCATATTATGCTTAATGGCTTGTTTAATGAATGGATCTTAGGCATTGACCTAATTTTATAATTTATAGCTAAATTATAAATACTATTTTGAGAAAATTGGAGAAAAGTTGTAATTTAAACCAAAAATAAAATGGAACCTAAAACATAGAATACAAAATCTAAACCTCCATACTTGTTAATTGAGTTAACCAGTTGCAAAAAATAATATATTATAGTAACAAGAAGTTAAATTTCTATAGTAAAAGTTATTAGGATATAATTGATACTAAATACTGTATTTTAGAATTTGAAATGTTTAGTGTTGAAGAAATAACTGATYAAAAAATAGTATGAAAAAATATTTATTCTATGATATTATGAATCAGAACATATCACTTATAACAATTGACTCAACATAAAATAGTTCAATTATAAATAGTGATTTGCTTAAGATACACAATGTTACACAATAATATATAAATTAATATCATGATATTGTTTTTTTCCACTTGAAAAATGAATAAAAATAATTATAAATAATAAAGAGACTGTAACTTAATACAATATAAGATCACAGACATAAAAAAAAAAAATAATAATAATAATAATTACAAAAGTTATTACCTACTTAGAACATAAATATAAATAAAATAAATACATGCTTATTTATACCTATGTATTTTTTTCTTACTTATTCGTCATCATTAATAACAATAATTTTTACATCTTTAGAATCATTTCCCCTTAAAAATCAAACAAATAAAATACATGACAATTTAGTATGTAATCTACACTTTATCAAAAAATTAATTGAGTTATACATACACAAATTCCTGCTTAAGTTTTTCAAACTCTTCCTTAAATTTGGTTCTAAACACAATAATGATGCCTAATAAATTTCTTTTACTAACTTCTGAGAATCATACTTGTACTCAAAACAAATGCAGTCAGACCAAACTCCTGTATAATCAATTTTAAATAAGCTTCGATAATAATGTGGCAATAATTGATACTCACCAATGTCTGTTTGGCCAAAAGCATTGCATACATCATTATACAATTTTCTGATAGTTCTCAATTTGGTAATACCTGAGTTCTGAGCAAGTTCAAATGAAATCATGGTTGTATACAACCGTTTACATTCTGGTTTTATGTTTCTAAGTTCAACAAATAATTCCTGATTTGAAAGAATTCCATTGTGAACTATACTCCATTTCAAATATTCAGGCCTGATAACAAAATTAATGTCTGGGAWTGGAAAATGTGATCCTTCATGATAGAATTTCTGTAGCTAAATATAAATAAATTATGTTATAGAGAAACCATAGAATATTAGGAGATATTTTTTAAAGTATTCTAAATAGATATTGAACACTTTTTTTTTACCGAYAACGTCATTGATAAACTGCTTTTACATTACTTCCAAGGCAATTATTGAACACTTATTTATAGGAAAGTATATTAAGTATTATAAACCTACTCAAATTGGGTAAATGAGCTACTGAAAAAATCTTGGCGCAATWGTAATGAATGTTTGGTTTCAATATTTTTATATGATAAAAATAAAAGTACAACAATTCGTAGAAAATATAAATGAATCAAACCTTTAAACTGTATGGTAATTAAATGTAAGAAATTCACACTTGGTGGGCCTATCCGGAACTGATTAATGATAATAGATACTGCTAATCGGTGATATCTGATATATTTGAAGAGAAAGAGTAAAACAATATACCGGAAAAAAAATACAGTAGACATTAGAGATGAATGAATCACATGAGTGGCGTRATGAAGGACTATATTTGAGGCTCGTGCCTCAGTTTGAGGGGTGGTGGGTGTCCTCAAAGATCATCTGATGTATTAAAAAAAGCTTTATTATTTAAATGAATAAATAAATTTTATCTTGAAACATTTTTTTAATGTTTTTTTGTGATGGATGGGGTGGGTGGTGGGTCTGATAATATAACTGTGCCTCATAACTTAATGAAGTTTGCCACGCAACTGAATCACATATATCACATATATTATATATGKACTCGTCGAGTTATTTTAGAGCTAAAATATGGATAATGTGTACATATTTTATTTTAATACCATATAAATATTGGTTAGCAAAATCTACAAGCATATTCTGCATAAATTATTAAAAGGATAATTCTTAATACTAATTTTAATTATTTTTACATAAGTTTATCATTGAAAAATGATTAAAATATTAGTGCCTTTTTTATTTTTTATTAATAGCTTTAAGTTACAACTATTACAGCTCAAAAATTATGCAAAATTATTTATTATCATATTTATTTTACCAATTTTGGATGAGTGTTCCCCAAATATAAAATTAGAATTTGCCATAAAAGCAACGARTTGCTTGTTAAAGCCCGAACTCCGGCTTGAAAAGCTTCAATGCCCATTTCAAGACTGTCAGAGCTYGAATAATATGATATTAAATTAATCCAAAGTTCTACATTATCTTTTATCACTTCAACTGCTTTTCTGAGAACTTTATGACATCCTTTATTTGTGTTTTTAGCCTAAATAAAAATAAATAAGGAAACAGTAGTTTTATTAAATACTAAAACTTAAGAAATTGTACTCAATAAATGTAATGCTGAGATTTATATAATGCTTTGTTATTGTGTGCTTCTTGAAAGGCTCTCTCCATTGTTTCATTCATAAAACTTCATATTGTTTCTTTTTTCATGCAATAAGATTTATGAATTCCTATAATATGRTTGATATAAAAGTTTCATAACTTGTTTGTTTTTTAATGCTAAATTTTCTTTYAATCCGTCTTCATATGTTTTAATACAGTTTCTATAAAACAAATGTCAGTAAAAAAATTTAAAYTTAAATTTTGGATACTTACCTAATACAACTAAAATAATTTTTATCATAATGTAATTGCTCAGTTTCTTGATTATAGATAAAACCATCAAAATTAATTTTAGCTAATTTATGTCACATTAGTTCATTATGCTTATACTTTCTCACTATATCTCTGCAAAAATAAATACATTT